CATGAAGATTAGGAGCAACTCGATGAGTGGGATGAACAGCTCGTCGAGTAAAATGAAGATTTCCTTGTACTCGGCGAGTCTGTTCTTGGACTCGGCAAGTCAGGTCGCGAAACCCCAAACCCTTCAAGTTGAGACTCGAATCAGTGAGTCGAGTGGAGAGTCGGTGAGTCGGACAGGTCAGGACTCGGAAATCGGTAGACTCAGGAGTCATGGACTGACTCGGCGAGTCGAGTCTCAAATGGAAGGATTCTGAGCATATGAACCCGGCGAGTCAGTAGGTTGACTCGGCGAGTAGGGTTGACCTGGGAGGTTGACATTGACCAGGACTTTGAATTTGACCAACATTGACTGGGTTGACTTTCAGGGGTCAATTAGACTAAGTGTTTCATTGATATTAGTAGCTCGGGGAGCTAGTGGAGCAGGAGTTCAGGAAGTTGTCGAGAATAGTTAGAGGAGCTATCAGCAAGTTCAGCAAGTGCAGGTGAGTTTCCCTTTTGTGTGAATGGGTCTACGGCCACAATGTTGGCCCATGTAGCTATGAGTAGAAGACCCGGGGGTTAGCCCTAGGCACAGTATGCTAGTATGATACTCAGGACGAGGTCCAATGATAGCGGGCGGGTGCCCAAGGAATGGTTTATGTGATAGTTTATACTTGTTGTCTATGTGATACTTGTATGTGCCTGGTAGGGAGGTGAGTATGGGCGAGGTCCCGTAACTCACCAATAGCAGAGTGTGGATGGTGTTCTACATCTCATTAGCAGCAGATTAGGGGTGAGGCCCAAGTTAGGGAAGGAGTGAGGGTGGGCTGGGCCCGTACCTCACTATCACAGGAGTATGGACAAGGTTCCATGACTCATCAGTAGCAGGACAAGGGCGAGGCCCAGAGACAGGCGAGGCCTTAGGACAAGATCCATTAGTATGTGTTTAGCTTATGTGATGTGATATGTTTATGTGCTATTATATGTTAGCGGGCGAGGCCCTGTGACAGGCGAGGCCTAAGTGAAACAGATCTGTATCCGAGCGGGGCTCGAAGCCAGGCGGGGCCTGGAGCGGCCGGGCCGTTGTAGCGGGCAAGGCCTAAGGTAGGGGCGAGGCCTAGGATAGCGGGCGTGGCCCAGTATGTGCAGTATGTGGTTATGCATGGTATGTGGTAGGGTGGGGAACTCACTAAGCTTCGTGCTTATGGTTTTCAGTTTTGGTTTCAGGTACTTCTGGTAGTGGAGGGAAAAGCTCGGGGTGATCGCATGGCACACACCATAGATTAGACAGCCTGGGAATGTTTACTCTGGTAACAAACATGTGTTTTGGAAATTAATACTCTGATTATGTTTTGGAATGATGACTTTGCTTTAAGTAATGTTTTATTAAAAGAAATTTTTAGTCTTGAATTTTGGGACATTACAATTTTCGCATTAATATCTCATTTTTGAAGGATTGTAACTCACCGAATATAACACCAAAAACAACAAATTTATAGTCAAATTGCAAACAACATGAATCATTTAGCATTCTTTTCGGTGTAATAAGCACACTTTACAAACTGCAAACAACATGAATTATTTAGCATTTCATTTCAGTTTTTTTTTAAATAAATTGAAAAACAGCTTCAAATGGCTGCTCTTGATGAAAATGAGGTAAGTTTTGCTTTATATTTTATTGATGCACTATTTTGTTATATAGTTTATATTTTGGTCTAACGAAGTTTCAATTCCCTAGGAAAATTAACCGAATAGAGCTCCAGGCATGGTGACCCCTATGGAGAAAACTAGAAAGGAGTTTACGTGTTTAGGTTCAAGAGTCACAAAGATTTATGTTGGATTTATCCTGACTATTGTAATGTTGCAAATATTTTAACAAGTTCTTTTTTTTTTTTTTGGTTGTTCCAACACCTTATTCTTCCATAGTGTACGAGATCATATGTTGATCCATCTTCCCCTGGAGTCAAGTTCCTTCTACTTGAGCTTCTTTTTGCTGATAGTCTTCTCAGTTTACCTACATTGATGAGGCTAGATCATATTGTATTTGTATGAAGATAAGAGTACATGGATTAGTTACACAAGGTAACTTTGGAACATGAAACATGTTTCCTATAGAAAGTGATTAGGTTCCGAAAAGAAGGTCATGTTTACAACTTTAATTTATTATTCGAGCTTTAACTAATGATTTGCATATGATCGAATTAGGGTCGGAACAAAATGGTTCGTTTTGTAGGCATGGGAATAGAAAAACACCATGAATGACCAGAAAGGAAAGCACATCAGATCTTAGAACTTTGTTGTGTTTTTTCTTAATTTGAGAATTAATTTGATGTTATTCCGTAGGTTTTATATTTGTAAAGGGTAGCTTGGTTATTATTGCAAAATACAAGAATTTGGGTTTGTATGAATTGAGGATTATGTTGAATGGTTGGAGTTTCCTTAGTGATGTTAAAAATCGATTTTTTGAAAGTTCAAATGAGGTTGAAAAGGTTATAGAATTAGATTGGTAAGTGTATTTTGGTCAAAATTAAGGAAAATGGGATAAAAGAAATAAAAGTCCGAAAGGTTTTCTTTGTTAAATGTGAGTTTTGTGTTATCTTTTTTAGAGTTAATAAAATTGACTATGGTTTTAGAAAAGGCAAATCAATTATGGTTGACAGGTTTGTTAGTTTTGTGATTGGTGGCCTTTTTGCTTTGTGACTAATTTCGAGATGTATTTGGTTGGTTATTACTTTAAATTTTGAAGTGTTAAATGTGGTATTTAAATGTTAAAAGGATTAACAAATAACAAACACAAAATTGTCCATGAATTACTAACTTGATGTAGTTAAACTTCCGTATTGTTCTTACACAATTAGTTACTTATTATCCATGTCAATTTAATTACATCGATCAAGTAATTTTTTTGAATTGAAATATTGATGAAATTGACTTTTTTAGTCTACTTTCGTTGTCAAAGCATTTTTTTAGATACAATATTTATTTGTAGCCTTTTATCTTTGTAAAGAATGAAGACAAAAAATTTAAGACTTCAACGGATCAAGTCCATTGTCGTTAAGAGTCGGAGATCAATAGTTTTCAAGTTTTTAAGACATAGACTCTAGCTTCTAAAAAACTATTGGCACCCGTTGTTTGACTCGGGTAAACGGCTAGTGTGTGTTAGTGTGTGTGTGTGTATATATATATATATATATATATATATATATATATATATATATATATATATATATATATATATGCACACACATGCTAGGTTAAAACAGTGTAATACACGGTTTAAGAGTTACAAATATCATAAATAACATAGAATAAGTGATTTCCTATATATGTTGATTGAAAGAAAAAAATTAAATAATATTGAGTAACATTAAATATTTATAATATGATATTTTCTAATCAGATTTAACTGAAATAAGAAATAAATAAATATTATGTATTTATCTAGTAATTACAGGTAATTCCGCAATTCAATATCACTTCAACCACAAACATAAGAATATAATCAGTCAATCTTATGTGCGGTACGTATTAAAACAATGATAAACGTTGAAAGTCCAACTATTGACCAAACTAGCAAAACCTTTTGTGTTGTTATTGATGTAACTGTACATAATGGAAATTAACATAAAGTTGAATATTATAAACATATTTAAAATTTCAATAAGAAGCCCAAGAAACAGAGAGAAAAAGAAGTTTTTGTCGTGTTTTTTCTTTTAATTTATATGAAAATATTTTTTTTCATCAATTGTTTGTCTATATAGAGCATGTATGAACGAAATGGTAAAAAATGTTGATTTTGATGCAATACCAACAATAAAAAATGGTAATGACATTTTTAATAAAAAAATGTTCTTTTATTGAAAGTTCATGAAAATTTACTGGAATAAAATTAAATAAGTTGAATGTGCATCATGGGAAAAAGATAATATAATATACAACTGATTAGTATTCAAAGCTTCCATAGTTCCATATAATTAAAGTCTACTCTAATATTTCTCACAACCTTCTGCTCTTCTACCGTTCAAATTTTACGAATGTTACCCACAAATTATAATGTTTTGCTTGGGATATATTGGGATATATGACAACCAACCATTTTGTCTTGCTCATTTTTCAGCCTTTTTCAACTTTACAACACTTTTTTCATATATATTATACTAGGCAACACGTTACGATTGAAAAATCTATATAGTCAAATTATTAATAGACACATTGTAAAAAACAACCGAATTTTTTGTCATTAATAATCAAACAACTATGTTTATACTAAAATAAAAAGAAAATTGTATAAATCATTGACATTATCTTTAAATTGATAAAGTTGAAAATTTAAAATTTTGAAACAATTACACAGGTTAATGCAAGTAAAAATATTAAATACTAGTACAAATTAGTAGAGATTATGATCGACTTAAAAGTTATTGGATTTTTATTAAGAGGGGAGACCGGGAGCACTTTGGGCTTTTGGCTAACTAGTGTCCGAAGCTGAAGCCCATTTTGTTGGATCTCTCAGGGTTCACTGGCAACGGCGCACAAGTCAAAAACAGAAAATGAGTCACTTTAATCTCCAACAAAACATCCCTAAGTTCGTTGTTCGTTGTTCGTTGTTCGTTGTTCGTTGTCTCTCTTTATCGCAGAATGCAGTCCAGCTCTCTTTCGTCTCTCTATCTCGTTCTCCACCTCCAACCCCTTCTAAATCAGGTACGATCAAACTTTAACCTAATTCTTGTTTGATAATTTTGAAATCCCTGTCTTAGTTTTCATTTTTGTGATACGTATTATATTTGATTAAGTAATTGTAGTTAATTGGTTATTTGTGAAATGCAGTTAGGTTTTAGCCTAACTTTTGTAAGGTAAATTTAAAAGCCCTAATTTGAAACGTGAATAAATTGCCAATACATACATAATGATCAATAGTTGGTATTTACCTATAGAGGGAACTTAAGGAGTCTCTCCTATATAAGGGGGCTGGGGTGTGATTTCTTTACACATGTATATTTATTCCTGTGATACGATATCGTAATGGGGAAAAACTTATTTGTGTTCATGCTTCTCCTTGCTCTCTTTACTACAGGCATTTTACTTTATTCTTGTTTTATCCTTTTCGTTTATGCAATGTTAGTGCTTTTATATTATTTTTGTTATATGAAGATTTTATTGCTAGTCGAGATGTAAACATGTAAAATTGTTACTAACTATTAAAGATGAAAATGAGGAATTATAAGTGTGATTTTGAGAGAATAAATAAATAAATACGTATATAATGTGACTGTGACTGATGATTGGGAGTTGTTTTGTTGCAGATGAGACTTTTATGACTTCCACAGAAGCAAAGATTTGTCAAAATAGGATCCTTAGTTCAAATTGTGTGAAGGCTGAGGATTGTAAGGGTATATGCAGAGAACATATGTCTTATGAAATGACATGTGAGAAAATTGATGGGACTCTTCGTTGTATCTGTCTAAGGCCGTGTGGTTGAACATATGCTCTCTCATTGAAGTGAAGTTACTTATAAAACTATAATGCCAGCTGTCATTTCTGATGGTTAATTTATTTAATATCAATAAAACGTCTATGGGTTTTACTTTTAGCATACCATACAACTGCCCATGTTTATCAAACTTGGTATTCAATATACTCTTATCAGCATATAATGAGATAATGAATTTATACAGACTTCATATGCACGCTCAAGATTGTAAAATTCTCACAAGAGTTTTTTTTTTTTGGAAGCATAATAATTCTGTGCAAGTGTAGGCAAAATACAGATGTACCAAATATGTTTAGGCTTTAGATTTAGATAATAATCTTTGTTTTATTGTCAACATCACAAGAAAATGCATATGTTGTAGATTTGGATAATAGTAGTGATGCTTGGAAGTTGTTTCTAAATGATGATGATTGGGAGTTGTTTGCCTTTCTGAGTTTCTAATCAGGTTATGATTATCACTTGAAAACAGGTAATTGTTTCTTTCTCTTTGATCATTTTACCATTTTCCCCCTTACAATTAATTACAACTAACTCTTTTTATTGTCCGGATAGTATATAACCTAAGCCTATAGGGGAGTAAAACGGTATAAATTGGAATCTTTGTATTTTGTCCAAACTGAATTCAGTTTCATAAGGTATTATGGTGTTTTTCTGCCAAAAAAAATCCCAAGCAGATGCATTTACAATTGTTTTTGTGTTTCATTCATCTTGTTTCTGTTTTCCAATCAACTGCTGTTCAGACATCCTTGGTGTGTGAATTCAAAGGAATTGGAATCTCAAATTCCATTCCGTGGTGTGTCAACGGAATTTAATTCTGGGAGATTCCTCTAAATCCATGTTTCGGATCATTCCTAGGGGTGTCCGGTAAGAACCGAATTCCGTTCTTAATTTTTCATTATAAGACCAAATTGCCCGTGTAAACGTATTAAAAAAAAATACATTTCAATTTGCTTAATGGATTGATAAACCAAACAGGAAATAGTAAGTTATGATGAAATTGTGTGGTATGGATTTCTTTAAAATTTCATTACTGAGTGTTATTGGACATTAATGTTTTATGAAAACGATATATATATATATATATATATATATATATATATATATATATATATATATATATATATATATACAGAGCTTTGAAGGTTAGTGATTTGGTGGGTATATTTTTGTGACATGGTCTAACTTTTTGAGTTTCTACATATGAGTTATGAGTGGCATGATGTTTTCCAAAGTTTCTGTTCATTTTTTTTTTCAAGTTTAAAATATTTTAGATTCTTTTTTAGGTGAGTGATGCGATGCGATCAGTAAGTTAGAGGAATAATGGATTATGGAAGAAAGGCGACTTCAAACTGACAACTAAGGTTACTTATATGTTCTCATCTGCTCCAGTTATGCAAAATTCTTCAATTGCCTGTTTTTCTTACTCAAATTCCAATGATGTTTATAAGATAGTTGATGTTAATCTAGGTTTGCTTGTATATGATCATCTTAATCCTTCAGATTATGAAACAAATTACTTTCACCCTATTTACAGTTTAGGCATAAGTAGGGTTCATGATCAGTAGTAAAATTTTCATTTTTTATATGAAAAAATATAAGTAGCACAATGTTGATGGATCTTTGGTTATGGGTTTGTTTATCTTTTAGCAAATAATTAATTAGTGTCAAAGATATAGTTATACAAGCTATATTCTTAATGTGATAATGATATAATCTTATAAATAATTCAACTGGAGATTAGTGAATCTCCTACCTCAAGTATTTTGATGTTTTTTTTTGCTAACAAACCCTTATATAATTTCAGAATTTTAATTTTATGCTTTGTGGATCCTGTTAGTTTTTGTTCTAGATCTGCCACTGCCACTGATAGTAGTGGGGAGTGATGGCTGTGATCTTTTTCCCTCCCAGCTCTGATGTTAAAAAAAAAAAAAAAAAATGAAATGTGTTTTTTCGGAGTGTTATTATCTAAGGGTAAAACGGTCATTCAGATCTTTTATTGGTTATTTTATGTAGGGGTAAAATGCTCACCGATGCTTGTGGCAAAGCCTAATCAAAGTGGTGTTGGTTACATCTAATAGTATTAATTTTATATAACACAAAAATTGACGATATTACCCTTTGCTCCTGGGGCTCTTGGAGTAGGAGGAGGACCTTTGGTCAATGGTCAAGGCGGGACTTTAATGTTTTTAAATTGGCAATCTACACTCAATGTTCCAGCTTTAGCCCAAATTGTTTTGGTATTTGTATGTAGCTTGCAAATCCTTGTAGTCATTTTAAATGTACAAGTTGACATTTTCAGTTAATATACAAGTTGACATATGAATGCAACTCTAGCTCTCCTTTTTCTTATGAGAATATTGTTATTTAACATTCTATTTCTTGCAAGTATCCCGATCATAAGCTAAATGCAAGAAATGACAATGTACTTTCATTTTTTCCTAATATAGCATCTTACTTTCATTTCTATTTCTTTAAACTTTTTAACTTTACTTTAATTTTTTCTTATTAAACAAATGTATTTTAATAGTGCAATGCTATAATTTTATAATTAATTGTTTACGTTTCACTTTCTTTTCTATTCTATAATTCTATTTTATTTTTTCCTAATTAAAACATTAAATTGAAAGAACAATGTCATATATATATATATATATATATATATATATATATATATATATATATATATATATATATATATATATATATATATATATATATATATATATATATATAGGGGATAGGGAATATATATTACAGCCCTACCTAAGTTTAGGTACTAAACCTCTAAAATATGTCGTTTTAACATGTTAAATATATCAGGTTTGGTTTCACTTGGTAAATATATTATTCTCCATAACATTTTTTTCTTTCATTATCGTTTTATCATCTCCGTTTTCTTTCCTCAATTATCGTTTATTACGTCATCCAAGTGAACATTACTAAACCCTAAACCTAAACCCAAACCCTAAATTTAAACCTTAAACACTAAAGCTAAACCCTAAACCTTAAATCTAAACACTAAACCCTAAACCCTAAGCATAAACCTAAACCCTAAACCCTAAACTCTAAATCATGTTGTGCCGATCTTGAATTTACATCTTGAAGTATTAATTGTGAATTCATTAATGGTAATCTTTATATAGTAAAACAATGTATTTTCAAGAGGTTTAGTACTTAAACTTTGTATATTCCATTTTCCCTCTATATATATATATATATATATATATATATAATATATTATATATATATATATATATATATATATTATATATATATATATATACACACACATATAAAATGTTAAAACCCGTGTAATAAATAGTTTAAGATTTAATAATAACATAAATAATACATAGTAAGTAATTACATACACGAGTTGATTGAAAGAAAACTTTAAATTGGAATGAATAACATTAAATACTTATAAAATGATACTTTCTAATAATATTTGAATAAAAATTGGAAATAACTAAGATAACTGCACTACAATTACAAAACATAAGAATATAAACGACCAAACTAGTGTGTGCGTTGGATTGAACTAATGATATGCATTGAAGGTCTGACTATTAGTGGATATCACCCATACATTATGATGTTTTGCAAGGAATGTAGAAAAACTAACCATTATCATTTTTTTTTTTTTTTTGGTGCTGAGTTTTCACATAGTGTTTTGATTAATCCACTGAAAAATCAATGCTTGGACACTTATACCCCTCCACCTATTTTTGTTTTTATTATTATATCGAAGAGAGAAAATAATATGTTTCCAAAACAGCTTTGATTTCCTGTTGCATGTCTGATTTAATCGATTCAATAATTTCCACAAAACTTTCTTCTATCGTTGCGTCTTCATCGATTCAAACAGTAAGTGAATCGAAGTACTCATGTTTGGATACCTGAATACCATATCACTGAACTGAAGTAAAGATTGAAGCGAGCAAAAGTAATCACGTGAATTTGGTGTAAAAACGCAATATCAACCATCTAATTAAGGCTTCAAATGTGCATTAAAATTGGACTATTGGCTTTCATAATCATATTATTCTCATGTGTGACCAGAATCATTGTAAAGAAATTTGATCATTCTTGTTTCATTTTGTGCGGAGACCACCACAGGTGCTTTTGGTTTCTTGTTTTGATTTAGTGACCAACACCGATGCTTTTACTGCTTCTTTTTCTTGAACTCCTCAAAGATCCAAATGCATATGATTGTAGTAGGTGTGTGTGTGTGTATGAACCATTATGTGTGGATGTGTTCAATACTGATTTGTAGGTGTGTGTGTGTGTGTTTGTGTGAACCATTATGTGTGGGTGTGTTCAATATTGATTAGTAGGTGTGTGTGCGTGTGTGTTCATCATGTGTGTTCTTTGTCTGCGAGTAATAATTTTTAGGCATGTAATCTAGGTTCTTGGTTGGGTGGTTCTACAATGCCTCCCTTTCACATTTTAAATCCTTAGTTAATTAGGTTTGCTATGAAAAATTAAATCAGATGAAAAATTATGGAACGGAAGGAATATACTTATATTATATGCGGATCTAAGGCAATGGGATTGGGGTCCCTGTCATATAAATATAATGGACTTAAGAGTTGTTGGATTAATTTTATTTAAATATATAAGGTGAGGCTGCAATGAAATTTGGGCCTAGCTCTTAGAGATTCGGCTTGTTAGCATCACTTTGGGCCAAAGAGGAAATGAAGCTCGAAAATAAATAAATATTAGCCCAATTTTGTTGGCTCTTTCAACGCTAGCAAAGACGCACAAACAAAAGCAAAAAATAAAAAATAATAATAATAATAAATCAACACAGTGATTCACTTTAATCTCCAACCAAACATCCCTATGCAGGCCGCCTCTCTTTAGTCTTTCTATCTCATTCTCGACCTCTAACCCCTTCTAAATTAGGTACGTTCAAACTTTAACCTAATTCTTGGTTGATAATGAAGAGACCTTAAGATCAATCGATATATCAAACAAAGACAATGAGTAAGAACAAAAGAAATTCACGAAGAAAACTTTCACTAAGAAAGATAATCTCACAAAGAGATTATCGTGTGCACAAAGCGACGATTAGGGTTTTTGAAAGACCACATCTTTACAAACCCGTACAAAAGACTATATAGAACAATTATAGACAATCCCTACAAATCAGGGATATTACAGCTAACTTATACATGATAACTATGGAAACAAGATAAATACTGAATCTGTTACATCAAATACATATACATTGAGTAAACTAAGCTAATATAGACACAGCGGAAATATGTTAGAGCTGACGCTGATACACGTGCTGACGCTGAGTTTATTTTAAACATAATCATATTTCAAGGTTCGACCTTACAATCTCCCCCAATATGATGATGTTCAAAACAAACTAAATAAATACACCTCTTGAGAGAAATTCTTCATACTCAGCTTCAGCTTCAATTTTAACTGGCCAGTAAGGACTGTCCAGCAACTCTTGTCTTCTGTTCAGCAGCTCCATGGCAATAAGGATGTGAAATTCTCCAGATAGATCTTGATGACTCATGCACATTTGCCTTAAGCCAACAAGGTGAGTGATTGGAGCCTTTGGGATCTCAGTGGTTCTTTGAAAGCACATCCTCCTGTTTTTATCTAGATAGAACATTCCGTGCTCAGGAGCTGAGATGAATTGATGCTGAACCGGATCAACACCCAGAGGAAGTGAATTGTTAATTGCACCAGCACCAAAGTCTAGAACCAACACATCTTCGCCATCGACATGAAACTTGGTTCTTCGAGATTTATGAGCTGACAACCTTTGACCTTGATGCTGAGATCGTTCCTTAGGAACAAGATCCAAACGCTGAACTTTCTTAATCAGCAAGTGAAGAGCACAAGTCAGTTCAGAAGAATGAGCTGAGGTTTGCTTGGATGCAAGATTAAGCAGTTCCATCCATTCCGAATACCCATACCTGATCAGCTCATCTCTCTTAACAACTTCAGTATAAGAGTGCTGAGGACCTTGACGAGTGATCAGCAATGTAAGAATTTTCTCGTTTCGAGGCTTAGAAGCTTTGACTTTGATGATCTTATCTCCACACATCCGCCGGTTGAGAACATCTTCAAATCTCTTTCGATCAATCCGGTCAAGAACACTGTCAGTCTTGGGCTTGCTAGAACTAGGAGGAGGTTGAGAAGACTGAGCCCTGGACTGAAATTCAAGAAACTTTTGCATTTGAGCTTCAAAAGATCCCTTGGCCTGAAGTTCGTGCTGAATGAGAGATTCATCAGCTTGAGCAATGTTCTTTAGAAGCTGAGCTTGATTTGCTTCATCAAGAATTTGCTTAACTTGATCAGGGGACATGTTCCATTCAGTGGCAAGATTTGAAATACTGACGATGGACTTTGGTCTCTTCACAGTTGAAGAAGTATCAGTTTGAGAATGATCCAAGTCAGTATCTTCTACTTTCCGCTTTCGAGACAACGATGAGATTCTTCACTGGCAATGTCCGAATCTTCTCCTTGGACCGGAATGATTGAATCAGCAATAGGATCGGCAAGTATCGGAATAGATTCTTCAAGATCATCTAAGCTTTCTTGCTGAACTGGAATGAGAGGATCAATAAAGTTCATGTCAAAAATTTGACATTCATCATCAGGTTCATCACGCTCTTCGTCATCATCACTATCTTCAAATAATTTCTCAGTGGCTGCTGGACTACTATGCCCCGCAGAATCAGATTCGTGTTCATCATTATGCTCACTATCATCAGATAACCTTTCAGTAGCTGCTGGACTATCATGTCCCGCAGGATCAGCTTCTTCAACGGGGTTGAGTGAGTCATGCTGAAGAATAGTGTTGTCACCAGTTGCTGTGTCTTTTTCATTTTGATCTTCATCATCATGAGCATTTTGATCGCTATCAGCATGATCATCAGCGTGATCATCAGTATCTCCCCTTTTTGAACATCATTGGATATGGGACGAGAAGCAGGAGTAAGTAAAAGAACCTCCTTGATTTGCTGAACATCAGCCTCAATATTAAGCAGACGCTGACTCATGTCCCGAGTCAGTGACATCAGTTCAGAGAATGCGGAAGCAGGAATTTGAATCATGGATGTACCTGGAGCAACTGGAAAGCTGGATTGCATCCTTGGAGAGAAGTGGCGAGCTGCTGGGGATGAATGCTCCCCCGGAGAGTGAGGCATCCCTTGAGAAGAATGCTCCCCCTGAGACTGATGATCCCCCTGAGATGGTTGCTCCCCTTGAGACATGGGATCCTGTGGAGCTGAGGAGGCAGGACCAGTGATAGGGATAAGGTGAGGAGAAGGTGGAGGGAGGAATGGCCGCCATCATAACGATCCACTTCTTGATCAGCATGATCCACATGATCACCATCAGCACCTCCTTCATCAGTATCAGCTGAGAGAGAAGGCATAGTGTATGGATGAGCAATCCATTCTCTCATCCTATCTGAGATCCCAATGTCTGAATCCAAAGGATCATCCTGATACATGCGAACGGACATGCGAGGGCATTGGATTGGATTCCCAGAGTGAGAAAAATAATCAGCAGCGAAGAATTTGTCGAACACCAGGGCAATCCAGCGAGGAAAGGGAACATGATCAGCACGCACATTTGCACGTAGAAGTTGAACAAGCTGATCAAAGAATAGTGCCCCATAATCCAGTCTTTTGTTGAGAAGAAGAGAGCAGACGACTTGTTGCTCATAATTACTCAATTGATCACCACTCCGAGACTTGTGGCCCACACACTTGCACAAGGCACCAGTGAAAAACTTCCATCCTGGGGTCATGCACTGACGCAAAATAAGGGCTGATCGAGTACCAGCCTTTGAATGATCATAGCCCAGTTGATCAAACATGCGTTTACATCTTTCAATAGTTGGGGGTTCAGAAAAAGGTTCGAACAGAGGTAATCGTAAAGCAGCGCTGAGAAGCTCTGCAGTGATAAAGACGGAGTGTCTGCCATGGCCAATTGTTCCGGTGATGGCATTGTTTTCTTCATTAACTGTTGCAGTATAGTAAAACTCACATACTTGTTCAGGGAAGAACTCGGATGGTACGTCACTGATTGCGTATCGGAGGCGGCAAGAAGTCAAGAAATTGACGAAATCATCGAGTCCAAGACCTCGATGAACCTCTGGAATGTCAGGGTTGAATACGACATTGGTGGCCTTGATGTGAATTGGAAGTGGAGGAGAGTTTGGGGCAGGAGTGACTCTTCGAGATGTTGATGAGTAGGTGAACAGAGATGCCGCCATTGGAGAGTATTTGAGAAATCTAGGGTTTTGGGAGAAAGGTTTTGGGAGGAAAAATTAAACCAAGGGATAAAGTGAGTTAAGTATGGAATGAAGAGGGGTTTCCTTTTATGTGTTTTATTCGAAAAAGGTAATAATTATCTTTACAAAAAATAACGGCGCAGCGTAACAATCTGTCAGAATAGAAAATAGCCGTTGACTGAAGGTGTAGCGTCAATCAGAGGTTGCGGAAGCGCTGAGTTCATAGTCACAAAGGTTATGTGCTGAGAAATTCTCCATCAATTCAAGGTACAACTTGCATAAACTGGGCTAGCAAGCAGATTGGTGCGTGTGATAGATACTAGTTACATTATCTAACCATCGGCACAGATTGTTGTGAGTTCATCAGTAAGTGGTTTATCTTACTGAATCATTAGACACTGAATAAGAAGGGGGTAGAGAATGGATTGTTGCGTGTGATAGACCGTGGTGTTTTGGTCTAACCATCGGCAAAGATCTGTAAACTCTCATCAGTGTGTGTTTTGGCACACTGAATCATAGAATCAGTGTAAGATTGGTGAGAAGAGGTAGTTGCGTGTGATAAATCTTGGTATTTTGATCTAACCATCAGCAAAGATTTTAGACCCTCATCAGCGTGTGTTTTTGGCACGCTGAATCACAGAATCAGTGTAAGATTGGTGAGAAGAGGGTAGTTGCGTGTGATAAATCTTGGTATTTTGATTTAACCATCGGCAAAGAGTTTCAAGTCGTTATCAGTGTATGGTTTAATACAGTGAATCATTCAACTTTTGTTTAGAAGATTTGAAGAAGAGATCAAGATAAGAAATCAAACCAAGGTGCTCAGTATCAAATATCATCAGAGTGTCATCATCAGCACAATGTACATCAGCTTATAAGACAATTGCAAACATTAGCACAATTAAATGTAAAATTTAATTATAAGGAAATCATTCCCAGTTCTCCGATAATATAATCAGTTGATTGAGAATCCAGTGCCTTTGTGAAGATATCAGCTAGTTGCTCCGAAGTCTTAACATGTTCAAGAACAACTTTTCCTTTTTCAACATTATCTCTGATGAAATGATGTCGGATTTCAATATGCTTTGTCTTGGAGTGATGAACAGGATTTTGTGTGATCTGAATGGCACTGGTGTTGTCACAATATATGGGAGTCTTTGAGAACTTGAATCCATAGTCGAGAAGCTGATTTTGAATCCATAAGAGCTGAGCACAACATCTTCCGGCGGCAACATACTCAGCTTCTGCAGTTGAGATGGCTACTGATGTTTGTTTCTTGCTGGACCAACTGATGAGACGATTTCCGAGGAAATGACATCCACCAGATGTACTCTTTTTATCTAAGTTGCATCCAGCATAATCTGAGTCAGTGTAACCATAAAGTTCAAATGCTGAGTCACGAGGATACCATAAAGCAAGGTTTTGAGTTCCCTTCAAGTATCGAAAGATACGTTTAACAGCCATGAGGTGAGATTCCTTTGGATTAGCTTGGAATCGAGCACAGAGAATGGTGCCAAACATAATATCAGGACGACTTGCTGTGAGATATAGGAGGGATCCAATCATTCCTCGATACAGAGAGTGATTGACATCAGTTCCAGCTGGATCAGCGTGTATCTTATCAGTCTTGGACACTGGAGTAGAGGCTGGTTTGCAGTCACTGAGAGAATACTTAACAAGCAGGTCAGATATATATTTACTTTGACAAATGGAAATACCTGTCTTTTGTTGCTGAACTTCAAGACCTAAGAAAAAGGTCATCTTCCCCATCATGCTCATTTCGAACCTTTGAGACATGATCTCTGCAAATTCCTTGCTTAGTGTCTCATTTGGAGAGCCGAAAATGATGTCGTCGACATAAATTTGAACAAGAACCATGTCTGATCCTTTGTTTTTGATGAAGAGAGTATTGTCGATTGCTCCTCGTCTGTATCCATTCTCAAGCAGATATGATGTCAGCGTCTCATACCAGGCCCTGGGAGCTTGTTTCAGCCCATAGACCGCTTTGTCTAACCGGTACACGTAATCAGGATGATCTTTGTCCACAAAGCCTGGGGGCTGATTTAGGAATACCTCTTCTTCTAACACACCATGTAGAAATGCTGTTTTCACATCCATCTGATAGACAATGAAGTTCATGTAAGATGCATATGCAAGAAACAGTCTGATAGCTTCAATGCGAGCAACTGGAGCAAAAGTTTCCCCGTAGTCGATGGATTCAATTTGAGTAAACCCTTGAGCTACAAGCCTTGCCTTGTTGCGAGTGATGATTCCATCTTTATCAACCTTGTTACGATAGACCCAACGAGTTCCAGTTATAGTTTTCCCGGATGGTCTTGGAACAAGAGTCCAAACTTTGTGCCTTTCAAACTCATTCAGTTCTTCTTGCATGGCTTTGATCCAATCAGCATCTTGAAGAGCTGCGTGTATTTTATCAGGTAAGATCATTGAAACAAAGTTAACATACATGCAAAAGTTATTAAGTGCACTAGATCTGGTTCGGACACCATCATGAATATTCCCTATAATTCGATCAACAGGATGATCTCGATGTTCAATAACTGATGCTGATTCAGGAGATATAGATGCTGACACATTATCAGTTTCAGGAGAATCTTCAGCTTCAAAGGTTTCATCAGCACTTAATGAATTGTCAGCCGATGTGGCTGCAATATCTTGAGTCAAGGAGCATGGAATTGGAATGATAGGATCAGAGGAATCAGTCTTATCTTCTGTAGAAGATACTTCATCGAAGGGACAAGAGAGAAGTTCTTGAAAGATAGAAGGAGAATGAGAGACCTTTTCATCAGTGTATGATTCCTCATCAAACTTAACATGAATGGATTCTTCAATGCATTGCCTATTCACATGAAAAACACGAAAAGCTTTCGAAATAGAAGAGTACCCAACAAAAATACCTTTATCAGCCTTAGGTTCGAATTTGGACCTTGGGTCACGCTGATTGAGAATGTAACAAATACATCCGAACACATGAAAAAAGGATACATCTGGTTTTCGACCTTTCAGCATTTCATATGGAGTCTTCTTGTGAACCCTGTGAATTAAAGATCGATTCTGAGTGAAACACGCTGTATTGACAGCTTCAGCCCAAAAGGACATAGGAAGACCAGCATGGATCATTAAGGTTCTTCCTGCCTCAATCAGTGTTCTATTCCTTCGTTCAGCAACACCATTTTGCTGAGGAGTACGAGGAGCTGAGAAGTTTTGCCCAATACCTTTGATGTCACAAAATTCTTCTAGAGTTGAGTTGCGGAACTCAGTGCCATGATCACTTCTTAGTTGCTTAACTTTAAGACCTGTCAGTGTCTCATTTTTACGAATTAGTGAGATGATCTCTTGTGTAGCATGATTTTTCTTCTTCAAGAAGGTTACCCAAGTAAATCGAGTGAACTCATCAACAACCACCAGAGTATACTTATTTCCAGCTAGAGAACGAACAGGAATAGGTCCGAACAGGTCCATGTGAAGTAGATAAAGAGGAACTGATATACTAGAGCACGACTTGGGTTTGAAAGAGGACTTGGTTTGTTTTCCTTGTTCACAAGCTGAGCACATATTGTCCTTTATAATGCTGAATTTTGGGAGCCCTCTAACTAGGTCTTGATTGGATATCTTGGATAGATTCTTGAAATTCAGATGAGAAAACCTTTTGTGCCAAATCCAACTAAGATTCGTCTGAGACTTTGTAAAGAAACATTGCATCAGTGCCTTGTCACTCGAGAACATGTCAAGAACATAAATATCATCTTTTCTACTTGCTGAGAGAACGATGTTCTTGTCAGTGTTTACAACTCTTCCTTCCTTCTTTGTAAAATGAACTTCATAGTCATCATCACATAACTGACTGATAGAAATGAGGTTGTGTTTGAGACCCTTTACATATGAAACGTTTTGAAAAATCACGTTATTGCATTTGATGTTTCCATATCCTTTAGTGAATCCCTTTCCATTGTCTCCATAAGTAACTACAGGACCAGTTTTCTTAACATAATCTTCTAGGAGAGACTTTGATCCCGTCATATGCCTTGAGCAACCACTATCTAAATACCAAAGATGCTCTTGACCCTGCAGTACTGAGAAACTAGTTAGAACACACTGACCCATTCAAAAATGGGTCATTCACAAAGTTATTCGATAATAAGTTATAGCACTCCTTAGGAAGACAGTTTAAAGAGTTAGACTTAAGAGACCATTTTTCATTCCTAATTTTAATATTCTCAGCTCTTGAGGATGATTTATCAAAAGAACATTCACTGATCTTGTGAGAGGAATTACCACATCTGTAACAAACTCTAGTACCAAAGTTCTTCTTGATGAGTAAATTTTTTGATTTAACACATTTTGACATGTAAGATTCATCAAGAGAGCTTTGAGTTCTTTTGTTTATTATTGACTCACGACTGAATACAGTATCAGGAGAAGTTTGATCAGTGTTAGGTGATACACTATCAGTATCTAATTTTGACTCATTCACAGATGGATTGCAATCAGGGCAGTGCTTGAGTTGTTCATGAACAGCATGAAACACTCCATTTGAGATAGGAAAAGCAATAATATTCTCAGTTAGAGGGATTGGTCTAACAAGATGTCCAGGATAAGAGGTAGGATCAATTCCGGTAATTTCAACATTGCACTCAGTTATACCATCAGAATTGGTAATGCAATATTTATCAATTAAGCTTTGATTAATAAAAGAGTTACTGACAAACTTATTTTTGAAATTATTTCTCATCTCATTCATGGAATAAACCTCAGATCCCTTTTCTTGTGTTTTAAAAACTTTTTCAGCTTCTGCAAAATTACCCCCAAGAATTTTCTCACAAGAATGAGGAATTTGAGCTGAAATGATGTAATTAGCATTCTTATGGGATTTTGCCCAAGTGTGAAGCACAGTTTGTTCTTTGATCAAAAGATTTTTAACATCATCAATTTCAGCAGACAAAGATGAGTTTGACAAACTAGTAATTCTGAGATTTTCCTAAGTGGACTCAATAATACTGTTTTTCATGGAAATATCAGTTTTAAGAAGATCAATTTGATTTTGCAAGTTTCTTATGGTTTGATTCTTCTTAGAATTAATGACACCCAAATACTCAAACATTTTAATTTTTTCATTCATTGAATAGGAAACAAAGTTTTTAACCTGGTACATTGAAGAAGAATCAATGTTGTACTTCCTGGAATTTTCAGCATCAGACATATCAGTGTCAAAAGTGCTTTCGTCTTTATCAGAAATAGTTGGTTCCTTCATTTTGACCATTAGACACTTGACTTCATCATCTGATGATTCTTCATCAGTTTTCCATTTTTCTTCTTCAGCTACAAGCACTTTATGTTCCAAGTTTTCAGCTTTCAGCTTCTCAATCAGCTTGTTGTACTTCTGCTTCCAGTATTCGTCTGATCCTTGTTTCTTTTGTTTACAATCCTTTGCAAAGTGATCAGTGCTTCCACAGTTAAAGCACTGAGCCTTCTCTTTCTTATCAGCACCAGTCCTTTTATCAGCTCCTGAACCTTTTGTGAACTTTCCACCCATCTTCTTTTGAAACTTAGAGAAGTTTCGACCTGATTTTTCAAAGGTTTTCACAATCAAGGCTGCACTTGCCACAACCTTTTCAAGATCATCAGTGTCAGTTTTATATGAGTCAATATCTGAATCACTTTCAGTGTCTGAATCTGACACCAACTTTTTGTTGGAGAACAAGGCTACAGAGGATTCACGCTGAGAATCTTTCATCAGTTCCTTTCTTTGAAGTTTTGATTCTTCATAGTATCGAAGATTTCCATAGAGACTTTGTAGATCCATAGAATTTATCTTCTCACTGTTTTTCAGCACGTCAACATGATTTTCCCAACCTGCACCTAGTGAATCCAAAAACTTTTGCACTAGGACAGTTCTACGCTTCAACTGATCTAGTCTCCGAAGATCATTAACAAGAGTATTGAATCTGTTGAAAGTTTGAGTCAAGGTTTCACCTTTCTTAGCAAAAAAATGTTCATACCTTCGATTAAGATCATTTATTTGAGTAGCCTTGACTTCTTCAGTTCCTTCAAAGGATACAGTCAGAGTGTCCATCATCTCCTTTGCTGAGATGCAGTTTTGAACCAACCCAAAGATATTGTATGGCAGAGAATAGCTGATTGCAGCACGAGCACGAACATCTAGACCATGTTTTCTCTTGTCATCTGCCGTCCAGTTCTCTTTGGGAGTTTTCTTCATAGTACCATCAGGAACATTGTTTTTGAGAGGCTGATACATCGGAACATAAGGACCTTTTTCAACGATGTCCAGTATATCTTCATCAACAGACTCTAATGCATATAGAGCCTTTATTTTCCACATAGCAAAGTTCGTTTCATCGAAAGGAGGGATTTTAGCAGAGGGATGATTTGATGAGTTTGATGAAGAAGAAGATGAAGCCATTTGTTTGATAAAAGAAACCTGCTCTGATACCAATTGAAGAGACCTTAAGATCAATCGATATATCAAACAAAGACAATGAGTAAGAACAAGAGAAATTCACGAAGAAAACTTTCACTAAGAAAGATAATCTCACAAAGAGATTATCGTGTGCACAAAGCGACGATTAAGGTTTTTGAAAGACCACATCTTTACAAACCCGTACAAAAGACTATATAGAACAATTATAGACAATCCCTACAAATCAGGGATATTACAGCTAACTTATACATGATAACTATGGAAACAAGATAAATACTGAATCTGTTACATCAAATACATATACATTGAGTAAACTAAGCTAATATAGACACAGCGGAAATATGTTAGAGCTGACGCTGATACACGTGCTGACGCTGAGTTTATTTTAAACATAATCATATTTCAAGGTTCGACCTTACAGATAATTTTGAAAACTTCGCATTTTGTGATACGTATTATGATTGACTAAGTTGCACGGAAACGGATACGGCAACGGGAAACGGAAACGGGAAACGGCAAAACTCAAAAATTCAAGATACGGATACGGCACAGATACGGCGATATAAAAAATATGAAAAAACATATATATATATATATATATATATATATATATATATATATATATATATATATATATATATTAAAGAAATTCCAAAATATGTAAAGTTTAAATTCCCAAAATACTAAATATTTCAAAAGTAACTAATTATCAATAATTAAATCATTTTCAAAATCGGGTTCATCTAGTGAGAGATCTGCAAACTCCAAAAACCCGACGTCTTCCATTGAATCAAAAGCATCTTCGCCCACATCCCACATCTTTACATAATCTTTCGGAGTCCTTGACAAAAGTCGGAGATTATTGTGGATGTAAACCAAGTCTTGAGCACGACTTGTAGTCAACTTGTTCCTTTTAAGCGAGTGAATGAATGCATAAGTACTCCAATTACGCTCAGCACAAGAATAAGAACTAGGTTGTCCAAGTAATCTAAAAGCCAAAGTCTGGAGAAAAGGAGTTTGGGCACCAAAGTTAACCCACCAATTCTTGGGTTCCATAGTAGTCATCTTTGAAATGCTTGTTAAATCTTCAAAAGGACCACTCTTCATTGAAAACATCGCATACTCATCAAGGACTCTGCCATACTCATCATCATTAGGAAACAACCTTCGAAAGCATTTTATCCTTTCTTGTGAAATTTCTCCATCCCTATGTGGAGCACATCTTGTAGAATCTTCCATTAACCATGCATCACTATAATATCTACAACCTCCAAAAGTTAAAAGATAAATATATAATACAAATCAAGTTTATAATTTAAAATCTTATACCTTGGATGTAAAGAGTGAGCTAAACAATGTAAGGGAGTGTTATTCTTCGCCCATCAAGCCACTAAAATATGATGCACAACGTCGTAAAAACAACTTATTTGAGATGCAGGACATTTTTCTTTCTTGTAGATCTCAATCTTCACTTTCTCAATCATAGAATCCCACATCTCATAGACGAAGTGTAAACATGGCTTGTCAGTGTCACAAGCTCTAATCATCTCATATATAGGTCTAGTGAAACTAAGAATATATGTTACTTTATCCCACCAATCATCATTCAAAATATATTCTTTCACAGAGTTTGCTTTCTCAGTGTCATCTAATCTATAAGAAGACCATTCTTCGCTTATGACCATATCTTGAAGACCCCTTTTGATAAGTTTCAATCTCTTAAGCATCACAATGATGGAGGCAAAGCGAGTGTTAGCAACAGAAAGCAACCTAAGAGGAGTAACCTTGGTGAAAATCGAGAGCCTCATGTTATGGTTCATGATGAAATTTTTTATTGCAAACGCCTCTTCATGAACTTCTTTTATCCAGCGGCACTGTTCATATGTTTGTTCATTTGTTTCCACATTCCTTGGTGAACAAATGTTCTTCAAAGCAAGATTAAGTGTATGAACAACACATGGTGTCTAATAGATGTGAGGAAACTGACTCTCTATAATCTCTCCAGCCGCCTTACAATTTGCTGCATTGTCGATAATGATTTGCACAACATTTTCATGACCAATTTCATTAATGACTTCCTTCATCAATTCAGCAATAAAAAATCTTTCACTTCCCCAAAACAATTCACTGCCTTTAGAAACAAAGGACCATTGTCTGAGGTAGCCATGAAGTTGATTAGAGGTTTTCTTGTAGGATCACTCCAACCATCACTCACAATAGTCACACCTTTTTCTTTCCATGTAGACCTAAGTGGCTCCAATAGCTTGTGAACATTATCTTTTTCTTTTTGTAGTAATGTTGTTCTTAGCTTATTATAACCAGGAGGTACATAACCATCAATTTTGTTGTTAGCAGCAAACTGAAAAGCCCTTACATAGTGTGGATTTCTTGCAAGATTAAAAGGTAAACCTCCAGTATAAAACATTCTAGCTATTTCTTGATCCAGTTGGTCCCTAATTTCAACACCAAAAGCTCTTTCAATAGGTGTTGAAATACCTTTTCTTTTCTTAAATCCAACACCAGCTTCACATGGCAACTAAACTTCTTTTGCTTGTGACTCGGTTTTCTTCTTTTCATACTCATCTTCTAATCGTGTCATGTTAAGTTTGTCAGTTGTTGCTTTCTTGCAAATAGAAATCCCGGTACCTATATTAAACAACATAAAAACATTGACATTCTCAATTACACAACACGAAAAAAAATAAGGTCATCATTAACATTATAAATTCAATTACATTACATTAATCAAAACAAGAAAGTGAATCAAAAACCTCTTATTTCTTTACTATTGTTCATGAATAAATAATTAAATAGTTATATTGAATAACATGAATCAAAAGTGCAACAAATACATGAATCAAAACAAAAATCACAGCCTCTTATTTCATTACAATCGTTAATGAATCAATAGTTCAATACGTCAATACAATAACACGAATCAAAAATTGCAAAAAATACATGAATCAAAACAAAAATCAAAGCCTCTAATTTTATTTATTTACAATTTTTCATGAATCAATACAATACATCAATAACATAAATAAAAAATTGAAAATTACATAGACACGCACACACTAATTTGAATAATAGATTACCTTTTATGCCAAGCAAATGTGCTCTAACTCTAGAATATGATCCTTGTCGGGTTTCACTGCAAAGATTACACTTGAACTTCCAACATCCTCCTGCTCCAACAAGTTTATCGAGCTTAGTCACAAAGTCCCACAATGGAGGTTGATCAACTGATGTAGATGATCCTTGTGTTTCTTGTTCTTGAGAAGAAGCCATATAATCGAATTAGAGAATAGAGAGTGGTGAATCCGTGAATGTGTGAATGAGTTTTGATTCTTTTGAATTTATTTTTTCCTGTTCTTGTCTTATTGATCGACGAAAAAAGAGATAGTAAACTAGTAAAGTAAACTAAAAAAAACGATCACTCGATCAGCAAAGAAACTTAGAAACTCGAAAAGTTGGAAACTTGTAATACCCAACAGCAATCGGTGAAGCACAGAAGCAGTTTGCAATAACCTTTGCAAACTTTAGTTTTAATTTAATCGGCTAATTGCAATACCCAACAACAATGTAATGTAGGGACTAGGGACGTAGGGTAATACACTAATACGTAATAGACTAATAGCAACCGTCGGTAGTTCGATTAAAGCCCATTACTTAATAACAAATTCACCACGTAATAAAAGCCCATGAAAAAAAAGGAAACGCGTACGATACTTGCGAGAAACGTTTCCCGGCCGTTTCTCCGGCGTTTCCGTTTCCTGGACGTTTGAGATACGGGAGCGGAAGCTTCTAAGGCGTTTCCATGCATCATATTGCTTGATAATGTAATTGTAATTAATTGGTTATTTGTCGAATGCAGTCAGGTATTAACCAAACTTTCGTTTGGTAATCTTAAAGCCCTAATTTTTGTTACTTAATATTTTTTTAATGCTTTATATCTTTATATAAATACATATGATTGTTTGTAAAAAATTATGTTCTTAAATTTGATTTGTGATAATGTAATGTGTGTTCGTAAATAATTAATTAGTTTTATGTGATTTTGTTAACTTTCTGAAATTATATAATTCTTTGACGTTTTGAACTTTGAATATAAGTCATATGGTGTTAGATTGCAATGGAAAAGAAAATCGTGGATTACATGTCCATCATCTGAATTCTTGAAACACATAATCTGAAAACGTGCATAAATTGCGCATAATCAAGGATCCGTAGCTGGTGTTTACCTATACGTAATACTAGGGAATGAAAGGAGTCTCCTATATAAGGGGCTGAGGTGTTGTTTCTTTACACATGTATTTATTCCTGTGATACAAAATCATAATGGGGAAACTTACTTGTGTTGATGCTCCTCCTTTCTCTCTTCACTACAGGCATTTTATATTATTTTTGTTACATGTTTAGGTATGAAGATTTTTCTTATACATGTCGATTCTTTAAATTATGTTTTTAATTATAATTATGGAAAGGACAGGATCAGTACAAGTGTAACAATCCAGTTTTCAAGGCCAAAACTTTCATTTTTAAGTTATTAATTATAAAAACCATTTGTCTGAAAACCAACATAACATCAATTGTAATAAACCAGAGTATTAATAGTCAATACATATCCTAATAAATAGTGTCAGAGTACAAAATCCTAGGAGCATCATATGCAGAAAATAGCGTGTGTGATGCGCTGCTACCGAGCCGACTCCTTTCCCCTGGAAGAAGAAGGACCTGAAACAAAACTGTAAACCATAAGCACGAAGCTTAGTGAGTTCCCCCATCATACCATATACCATTCAAGTACATACTGTCAGACATACCGGGGTGCCCAACCTACCCCTTCCAGGCATATCTGGGTGCCCAACCTACCCTGATGAGCATACCAGGGTGCTCAACCTACCCCATGTCAGACACACCAGGGTGTCTGACCTACCCATAGCGGTGTATCTCAATCAGTCCCGGGGACTATTTCACTCCTACCGCTACTATAATAACAAGGCATCAAGTATTGTTGAGCATGTATGTCAGAATTTCCTATCACATATAACATATCGGATAGTGGCACCCAGACAATTATCACAAAGACAATCATCTCCTACATGATCACCTACTAGTGGGCCGACATTGTGGCCTTAGACCCATTTTTACTGGAGGGTAATTCACCTCGATGTCGTGCAGTAGCTAAAATTTCCTCGGTGTCGGGATCTACTCCTCTCTGACTCCTACACATAACGATCCCTTTAAATTTCTCCATCCATATTCATAACCCCTTATAAGGGTCCGTCCTGATGAGATTTGGAATCGAGTTTGAATATAATTCTAGAAGTAATTGAGTAAAGAATTGAAACGATGAACACGAGAGTATTATATACTTTGATCAACTCATATTATGCCTTTCAGTTTATAGAGTACAATGAAAATAAACTGTAAAACTGTGTGTAAAAGTTGTTCTTAGATCACTAGTACATGCCCCTATTTATAGGAGAATAAAAGCATAACAAAATACTAAGGACTAAACGTTAAGCCTTCACTTTATAACGCCTTAGTAAAATAACTATATATACGAAGACCCATACATACGAAGACAATAAGATACTTCGTAACAAACAAACTGACTCTTCGACTTATTACAACATTTTAGCCCTAACAATCTCCCCCTTTGGAATCAAGGTCGAAGTCTTCAAGTAGTCAGTGCTTGGACAGCATACATCAGCACTCTTTGGATCTCCGTATACCAAGAGATAACTTTATTTATCTCTTTCTTATCTCCTTCAGAGTTTTTCTTGCAGTGGTTCATACGAACAATTAAGTTCGTATATTGAGAATTGTTGTATCTCTCCACTTCACAAGTTTGAAATAAAAATCGTTTAGCTCTTCCAGCTTTATCCTTCCCAGCAAAAACTATCCCCAATGGTTTTAAGCAAATTTCACCATATTCATACTTGTACAGCTCACTTTGCCTCTTTGTTGGTGCCATTGGTGCAATTATATCAATTCCTTTAACTATAGCAAGTTCCACATATGTTTGAGCCAAGCACTCGAAGTAATTTTCCAAATATATTTTTATGTGCTTGCACCCAAGGCTACAAACATCAGGCTCAGTATCTTTCAAAAATGAAAATGATTTGTCTTTAAGCATCAGGGCGACATTGATGAGATCATAAGTATTCATCAAAGGAAAGTCTGCCACCGTAAATTCTTGAATTTTTCCGCTTGCCCTTGCAATAATGTATTTGACATTTTCAAACTTCCCTTCAAAAATGACATCTCTTTTGATAGATATCACTTTGCTTATCTTTTGATAGATATCACTTCAAAAATGACATTGATGTGATACCATAACGATTGCAACGGTAGATTAACTTGTTGAACCGATCATAGTAAACTTCAATGGATTCAGACTCCTTCTGTTTGAAATCCTTGAGTTCCACCAAACATTGTTTCACTTCTTGAGTTCCGCCAAACATTGTTTCACTCTGGTTAACGCTCTAGTCAAAGTCAATGTCCTGGTTGACTCAACTCGCCGAGTTGGTCCATCAACTCGTCGAGTTCCCTGTCATACAACCTGAGGTATTTTCTCACTACTCGTCGAGTGAGATCTTGAACTTGTCGAGTCGATCTTCATCTTAGTTGGGACATTGACACCTTACTCGCCTAGTTCATCCTTGAACTCGCCGAGTCCTATGATCTTCGAGTCCAAGCCAAATCCAACTCACTGAGTTCTCTTCTAACCCAATGAGCTCACCCAGAGCCAGAAAGGTTGGGGACCACGACCCGGCTCGCCGAGTTGTATGAACAACTCATCGATTCCCTCATG